GTGGCGTTGGTGGCTTAGTCAACGCCTCCTCCACGGCCGCCGCCATCACTGATAACAGGGCCCGGGACCGCCGCCCCCGCAGCCTCGCGCCCCCCGACTCACGCCGAGCCCGATTACTCATAACCTGCAAGTACTGTGGAGGCGTCGCCCGGGTGGGAGAGGAAGTCAGCCCTCGCCAGGAGCGCGTGCGACTGCGACGGAGGGACGTGTGGAGGCGGCCCTTACTTTGCGTGTGGCATTACCGGGGTGCCCAGCGAGCCCGCCCATCTGGCCCACCGCGGAAAACACTGGGACGTGGGAGTGTCTCCGCTCTAGAGAAAGCTCTCCTCTCCCTCTCTCTCTGTCTCTGTCTGCCTCTCTCTCCCTCTCTCTCTTTCTCTCGCGGTGGTGACGAGGGGGAGGCTGCGACCATATTTTTACGTCCCTCTACTCGGGGCTGCGTGGTGCTGCGGCAGTGTTCCCTGCAGAGTGCGAAGTGTTTAGTGAGAAATAGAAGATTACAGGAAAAGTGTCTTTGTATTTTTTGTGGCCTGATCTATCCCCTTTGCGGCCCTGTCGCGAGTGATCATCGTCATCGATAAGACGATTGAAATAGTGGTATTGGAGTGATAAAATCTGTGTCGCAGGCCGCCATACCCGTCTGCCTGCGTGTTCTAGCCCTAGGAAGGGCCTGAGGGGGGATCTAGAGCCACCAGGAAGTACTGCCGGAGGAGCCACCATGGCCTGGGTCAGAGGGCTCTAAGGTGACCGCTGGGCCGGGAGAGAGAGTGTCACGATGCCCGTGCAGAAGTTCCGGGCTCGTATGAAGAGACAGAAGTACGACCCTGAAACGGATCCTGAGATGGTCGACGAGTACGGCGAATATTTTGCGAAAGCGGCCGACGAGGAACAGGAGGAAGGTAAGATGTTATCCAGCGCCCCTCGGTTCGCGGGACGGGAGACGCTGCTTTTATCTCTCGACGCGAAATCTAGCTGGCTTACGCCTTCCACTTACGAAGTACTAAAACACCAATGTCATTAGGGAATTCTGCTCAGGAGGGGGGCTCTCTTTGAAGAATTATACCGCTTTAGTAGTCTCGGTGATTGAAGCGGAGCGTAGTTTATGGCCATTGGCCAAAATAGTTGATTTGTTAGATAAACGACTGTGTACATTAAGAGAAAGGTACCTTTCAAATACAGTGATTTCATCTCAAAATATGGATGGCATCTACACGATGTAATCGAAAAATAGAGAGAGAGGTAGAGCAAAGAAGATACGAGAATTAAGGGTCTATATGCATGATTTTTTATTACCTGTCATGTATTTCGATAAGGACAGGAATGCAAAAGACGTCATAATATGGCGTCCTGTGTATATATAAATATTACTCGCAGGTTATTCTCACGAAAAGATACATCGCTGTATGAAAATGCTAAATTCACTTCGCGCAAGAACAATTGTGTTATTTTCTATCAGAAGGGATATCTTACTTTAAGATCAGATGCAAAGGAGACCGTATGTTAAAGGAACAGTCTGAGGGATGTCTGTACAGGTGTTGGGAGAACTGCGTTGTTCAGCTGAAGGGAGGGGATGCGACCGAGTCTCTGTGTGGGTTTTTTACGACGAAAACGGGTATTGATATAACACTATTAGAAACGTCTGGATTAGATGGATTTTCATTTCCCAATAGAGATGTATATGGATACTAGTTAGAGAGAGGGAGGGAGGGAGAGAGAGAGTGAGAGAAAGAGAGAGAGAGAGAAGAGGGGGAAGGGCAGGTCGCAAAGGGGAGCGGCAGGTTTCAGCGTGACATGACAGGACCCGGCCCGACCAGGTGACAGTGATATCGGTAGCGGGCGGGGGACACGTGGAGGCATCGGGTGGCAGAGGGGCTCGGTGCCTGGCTTTCAATATGACCTCTGCACATGTCAAGAGACGTGCGGAAGAGCAAGGCAACCATTGCCACCAGAGAGATCATAAGCGGACGCAAATGCACACGCACGCACACAAATTTACACGTGCACACAGAGACGCGCATACACTCGCACACACACACGCACACACACACACCACACACACACACACACACACACACACACACACACACACACACACACACACACACACACACACACACACACACACAGCCGAATAGACGAGAGGTAAATATTTAAGGGAGATCATTGTGAGGGTAAGGAGGCTAAATTATCACGGGGTGAGGAGAGGAACCCACAGGGGAGAGCGAACCCGTCTTGAGCATTTACTTTATGGAAGGAGGCGGCGAGATAATGAGGAAGTGGGTGGCAGGTATTTAGTTACGGGATGCGGTGAATGTCAGGTTTTTAGGTCACACGTGCGTCGTATTGAGACAAAGAATCGGTCCAGATTACGACTTCAAATCGAATTCTTTAGTCCACACGACAGTGGATGAATTCTTTCTCTTTGTATTTATTTTTTTTTAAGTATTTTGACCCCCAGGAAAGGATAGATGAGGAGGATTTGTCGGTTTAATGTATCACG